GGGGGGGGGGGGGGGGGGGGGGGGGGGGGGGGGGGGGGGGGGGGGGGGGGACTGTAATGGTACATGACTACGTTTTTTAGCCAAGGGATTATAGTTTTTCGAAGACAATCTTAGTACGGAAGAGCACCGGTGGATGGGTAGGATAATTACCTCGAGCACTACGCTGGGGTGGAGGAAGCTTTGAATATCCGGTTAACTACTGATTCATTCCTTTGCAAAAGGGTAAATGATGACGTGCTAGCAAACTATTCCCACTTAGGAGCACCTCTCCGAACTACATTTTCATCCCCGTTCCCAGTTGCTTTCCCAGTTGCTTCCAGCAAGTGGAAAATGAATAAGTAAACAAATAAACCAACATATGTTCTGATTCAGTCACGAAGAATATTTGCATGGCACCGCAGCGATTACGACCTCTTTAATGGCAAATCTTCCTCACCTTAGTGTTTTCTTCAAGGGCCCAAGCATATAAAAACAGATTGGGGATTGCTATTGTCTAGGTGACGATTGTTACACTTATTATTCCAAACTGTTTACTGTGTCGGCCGTCCGTTTGCCGAAAGGTGATTGAGCGTTACCGTTCTGCAGGATGACACCTCTTCAGGATCTTCCGTAACATTTGGGTTCAAATTCAGGTTTCAGTGCCGCAATTCTGTGTCTACACCGCCTCAGGGTTCATATTGGCAGTGATACCAACAAGGTAATGAGATGGTGTGACTGAAAGCTTCACGGCTTATCGCAGTACTCCGTGCAACTGATACATATACCACTAGAAACTGTCTGCCCGCCTTCCATTCTGTCAAACTCTATTGGTCATAGGTTTTGCTAGAGAAGCATAGAACACTCACGAGTCCGTTTTTCGCCTGCTATTGCAGAGCCCGAAATGTTCTCACGTCTACGGTAACAAATATCCTCTTCTTCGTCGCCGTCGCAGGGTCCCCTAGTCTTGTTAGCTTCACCAATTCCTTCTATCTATGACAGCTTCTGCCGTTTCTTTAGCTTTGGCGGGACCTTTTTGATTACGCCCTTCCACCTCTTCTGTGAAGATCCTCGTCGTCTCTTTCCTTTAGACTCCATTGCCAAACTTACTGGATGATTCAGTGGTTTTCACAATACGTGTCCCTACCATCACAAACGCCGCTCTGTCATCTTCAGCTAGACAAGGAGCTATTCTCAATAAATGTCTTTATCTTTTGTAAGGATCGACCAGAATCGTATGGAGCACCGGCGGATTCATCGGCTGACCACCTGTATGTGTATATGTCATTGTATAGGCGACAGTAGCATCGAAACGCTACTACGATTTTGAATGGAAATCGAATGCGGGGGCGCATACCGGAGGCGAGACCGGTTGAAAGTCTTTGTATTTGGTCTTTCAAGTTTTGTCAGCATCGGAAGGGTTTGTTGACAGGGAGTGTGGATGGCAATGAATCTAAACGGTTGTCAACCTGGTGTATCAGGGTCCATGAATTGTGATATCAGGCTATACTGGTTACACCGTAAAATGTTATTATCCGGAGCACCACAATATACCTGAGCTTCTAGTGATGTAGTGTATGACATATGGGTGGAGCATCTCCAAAGCGAAAGCATTCATGTGCATACCTCGGGATGACTCACTTCTCAGAAAGTCTCTTCTCTATGGTGGTACAGTCCTACGGCCGAAGAACGATAAGTGCAGAGCCATGCTTTTCTTGTATTTTCATTGCAAAAGGCTTATCTCGTACCATATTGATCGAGACCAGAGAACAATTCCCCGAACAGCCCACCTTGCAGTTCATGCCGTTGAAAATAAAAAGGGGACCGAAATGAGAGGTCATTTGATATGGCTGGTGTTTTGGTGAAATTGTCTTCATCAGCTGTTAGCGTTATCACAGACCAAACCTTGTTTTGTCCAGCAGTGGTCACCCAATACCCGCTATGGCACTGTTCCTCTCCATCACTATAAGTTCATGGTGCTGGTTCAAGACTGTTTCAAGTTCTCTTATTTGGGAAATCGACCCATTCTAAAACTTTCCCAATCGAAGGTTGCACCCTTCGTTCAGTCCATCTACCTGGTTTTTAGATAAACGGACTAGAAATTTCGCAAGTAAATCTTGTTACCATTTAAATCGTGCAGCTTTCTTAACTGAGGCTCCGCCACTTATTTTCCTAACAGTATGAGTAAATAGTACTTAGGCTCAGAGATTCAGCTTGATCCCTATTCGTTACTTCGCTCCCAAATGTTTGGTTGTTCAAGGATATCCTCTCAAGTGAAAGTTCTTTTTCAGGTAACATGTCTTCTGCCTTTCAAATGGATAGTGTCGAGACTGCATTGAAGGATGCTCTGAAGGGACCCACATACGACGAAGTTCGAAGGATTCTATATGGCAGAGAACACAAGTTTGTGAAACAATCTCATAAGCTCTTTGAAAGCCTTGTCGATGTGAGCGGGAGCCTACATTCTACTACTGTCTCATTGGTTCGTGAGATGTTTAAGAAAAGTCTGTTTGCATTGTTTCGACCCACGGGGAGATGTCTTTAGACCAGACTTGATTCCCATGAGGGTGACAAATTTTAGAGAAAGCCCAGACGAGTTATACATGTATGTATGAGAGTATGTAAAATTGAAGTCACTGCTACGATATCTTTCTTGGCTCAGAACCAAAAAAGAGACATATAGTTTCACACCCATTTTGATGTTCATAAAGTCATTGCCCGACATTTCAGAGAACTTGAAATTCCGAAAGAGGCTCAGGATATAGCCAACAAGAACAATTTCGATTTGAAAGCCTACGAGGTACTCGCTAAAGAGGAAGAGCAGCGAGCCCCAAGAAAGGTACGTGCCTTACTGAGGCTGAATCTCTTAAACTATTTCCAATTTTTCTCCAAGAAAGTCAAGCCCACTTTCATTTCGCTGGGTGTGAGAAAGTGCTGCATTTAAGCTGTTGAGGAGGTGATTTGCGCTTTTCTCTCTAACGGTATGAAAAAGTTCCTTCCCAAGCCTTTTCGTGAATATGTGAGAAACGTTGAGGTGGTTGTTCCCGCTGACTGTTCAGTCTTTGCTGTAGACTTCTGTACGTGATGCGGATGGTGACCAGTACCGAATACTTTGCACACTTTGGGAGCTGGTAAAATGTCAGTGAAACAAAAGTGACATAGTGGAGCTGATGATCTTCTTCGATGTACTAGCAACAGGATCGAGTATAAACGTTTGTTCAAATAATAGCGTGATCCCTTAGACGGGTATGAGTATAGGTGATAGGGGTAGTTTTCCCAGCCTTCAGTAGCAATAGAAGGGTTTAGAAGATTGAAAAGAAGGATGAGATTCACAAATTTCACTTAGCACTGCCTTCTACACGCTACTACCTACACGTGCAAACTTTAAGAGAACTTTGAGATATACTCCAGCGAAGAATACAGGGAGAACAATAAGGACATTGTATTTCAATGTAATTGATTTCAGGTAAGAATAGCAGCAATTCAATTCTCCATTGTGCTCCCTACGACGGCACCGGTCGAGGAACAAAGAAGAGCAATCCACAGCAAGGCATCCAAAATGATAGACGCTGCTGTTCTCGCAGGAGCCAATATGATCTGTTTCCATGAACTCTGGAGTCAGTTTCTAATGAGAATCTTTTGATATGCAGATCAATTATAGCTGGATCTTTAAGCAATGCCCTTCGCATTTTGCACTCGTGAACGACTTCCATGGACACAATTTGCAGAGTCAGCTGAGCATGGTCCTACAACGAAATTTCTTTCACAGGTACCGTCCTTTCAGAAATGTTTGCAAACGCACGAATCTTCTTGAAAAGAAGACCAGTTTGCGAATAGTTCTATACCACAGCAAGCCTTTCTAAACATTAATGACAATGCGTTAGCTCACGGCCTGGACCCTTCAAAGCACATTTACGTTTTTGTGGAAAGATAACTAATTCCTTCATCTTCAAATTGAATTCAAGAACGACTGCCAAGTCTATTTATTACTTTTTACACTCGACATTTACGACGAATTAGCTTTGCTTCACGGTTCTACAGCCAGTGAGAAAGAACAATTGTGCGCAAGAAGCGCCACAGTTTAATGAAGTTGTAGGAACTAGAAAATGATACTTTTCATAAGTTTGATAGAGAAGTTGTAGATAGCTGCTAAATACGGGATTGTGATCATCTCATCAATTTTGGAAAGAGATGAAGACAAGGACGACGTACTGTGGAATGCAGCTGTCGTCATTTCACATACTGGCAAGGTGATCGGCAAAAGCCGAAAGAATCACATTCCGAGGATCGGAGACTTTTCAGAGGTTGGGACAATCGTAATGAGAATGATTTTTTTCATCCTGACTTCATAACTTTCAGTCTACCTACTACATGGAATCTACACTAGGACATCCTGTATTCGAGACAGCTTTTGGTATGAGGTTTTTTGCATAGCTTTGAAATAAGCTGAAATGAGGCTGAGCGTAAATTTTTCTCCGGTAGGTGAAGCGCGCCATCGCTGAAAGTGGTCATGTAGGTCGGTATGCCCACTCTGAACCCACTACAGTGTCTCACTTCCTCTAAAATACGACCCTTTCACCAAACCCAAAAAGAAATCGCTAAGACGGGATCAAAGTGAGACGGCGGGAAAGTTCATGAACAAAAGATTTCCTATTAATTTACAAAACTAAGGACCCCTTCACCCTATGTCAAATACCACAAGATTCACCTTTTTTCGGTCGAAAGGTGGGTAAGTCGGTGGAGAATAGTGAATCGATAGCGAAGAAAGCAAGAAATCCCGTGGGACTCGCAAAATTTAATGATTCTCGGGTGTAGTAAAAATAGAGGGTTGTACAAGACTACTCTGACGGAAATGGTATGAGATTGCAGGAGATTACCCTTACGGCAACGGTATTGGAGGGGTATTCAGAC